TACACTGTACCACCCCTATTTTATGCACCTTCACCCCTTCCACCACTTACAACTTCTCTTTCTGTTACCCCGAGTGCTGTAACACCGAATTCCTTTTATTTATCCTCAGCATATGAAAGCGCTGTGAGCTCTGTGAACAAAAACCCTTCGTTTTCAGAAACCCAAGGGGCAGCTACAGCTACCTAAAATCCGGAGCAACCCAAGTTCAAACATTTGTTGGCGAAAGGCAGGTAAGCAAGGGAGGAAAGCATCACGTACTAATTTATCGGATTCCAGGCACAACACGTTCCCTAACGTTCTACAGGAAGTAAACAACCAAGAACAGTGAAAGCTACATGTGCGCTCACTGCCTGGCGGAACGAAGAAGAGGGCGTGATGGGGGACCAGCACAACGCATCAAAGTGGGTGAAGAGACTCAAGGAAAACACTCGCAACCTTCCATAACTTCAATTTAAGGTTGTCGGGAGCGTTTTTTGAGTGATCCTTGTAGCATAAATCACGTATGTACTCCTGGGAAATACACTGAAGAAAGAGGAAATCGGCATGTGTATAAGGTATTTTTCATATTCAACGTTGACAACAATGCTGTATTCGACTTCTTTAGGTGGCGCAGAACATAAGGCGAGATTCGTCTTATGCAGGGAAGAAACCAGCTCAAGTCTACCTTGATATGATAGCAACACCCCTTGAACTGACGACGGGGAAATTTACGAGCATTTTTTCGGTTTACTAAATCCAACTGATATTTTTTTATTCAACCTTACTTTAGAAGAAGAGGAGGACTCCATCAGGGCTTCAATACGTCGATCAGGATATCAGGCTAAGAAGAAAGGTGTTGGCAAAATAGGTTTTCCTAACTAGTGACCCTGTTAAGGTGATTCTATGATATTATGCTTGGTAAAGCAGCATCGGCGTATGGGTGAATAGATCATTAACATGGAGCATGTCCCCTTGGAATTCCGAACTTTGCGCGACGGCTCAATTTTCCTGCAACACCACACTTCCGGGCTACACATCTACTTCTCTGTTGCAACCAATAGGGTTAGATGACTTATTGTAGTACATGAGAATCTCTTGTGGCAGTTAGTATCTTAACGTTTAACTTAGAAGGCTTGCGAAGCAGGACTGCACATCATTGTGGCGGATGGGATGCACTCGCTACAACCTAAAACTCTCGGATACCAGGCACAGCCTTACTGCGTGCTTGGCGTGTGCTCTCAGGGAGTTGAGGTGCCACTCCTCTATTGCATCACGGCGAAAAAAAAAACGGAGAGAACCCACATGAAAATTTTTGAAATGTTGAAAGGAAGCTTCTATCGTCGTCTATGGCGACGATCCCCGTAACTATGTATATCATCGTCCCACTGTCTGAGACGAATCCCTAGCTGAACCCACACCCCTAAATGGTTCGGGGTCGAGCTGACCCGAGATAAGTGGGTCCGCACTCCTTCCTATAACAGCGCCACGGGGAAGACGTAAGTTACCTGTCTTATAAAGTATTTATTACCATTACTCTGTGCTTTGATAGCGGGAATGCCCGCGCTTACAATATTATTGTGTTACATTACTCCGTTATCACCGGAGGCATAAATATCCACTGAACCACCCGCACAGCGTCACTGGGGATGCACCTAAGCGAGTGGTCCTAGACTTTGAAAAAGCAGCTATAAAAGCTCCCCGCAAGGTCTTTCCAAGGGCATCTGTGGAAGGCTGCACCTTTCATTTTGCGAAGGCCTTGAATCGCAAAAGAGATTCCTTGTGGTTGAGGAGATACATCCATGGACTAGAAAGAGAAGAGCCAATCTTGGAATGGTGGGAAATAGTGAAAGATACGTGAGAAAGAAATTCTTTGCTTGACTGACACAAGAACAATTAATTTTTTTGTTTTTCAGGAGTGATGTTTCTTCCTCAACCGCTGGTAGAACGGGTGAGGGCCCTCCGAGCTCCCCCCCCCCCGTCCCCNGCCCCCCCCCCCCCGTCCCCACGGGAAACAACGCTCACGGGAAATGTGAAGATTTCCTGCACTACTTCCGAGAAACATGGATGCATGGGTTCTACAAAGATCTCTGGTGCAAATGGAACCTTGAGGAACTGCGGACCACAAATTTAGCAGAAGCGTTTCATAGTCAATCAATAGCCCTAGAGCCTTTTGAGTATCTGAAGCATAGATTTTTCAGACGGCTCACTGTACTCATAGACGTGGACCATCCGCCTTTGAGCGTACACATTGAAGTTCTCCGCAAGCTCAACTACGAAGCGAGGGCCGCATTAACACGCCTCCAAGAGGTTGCATTTGATTATTATCATGCTCACGAGCATGTTTCCTCTATTGTACCCAATGCAGGACCAGAACAACGCCAAGAAACCTTGAAAACGAGATAAGGAAAGACGTGCAAAGATAGCAGAAGAAATAAGGCTGTAAGTGCTTTTGTGCCGCACAAAGATAGATGCATTACATTTTATTGCTTTTGCAGATTTGAAGAGATGTACCGGAGTGGATCAAGTGAGCGGGAAATAGAGCAGTTCTGCAGGAAGATGTCTAGATACGTCACCGATAAGGCCTCATAGTTTCCTTATGATATGAAGATTTTGAATTTTCACATTGTATTGTCCCTACTATATATTATTTTGAAATGAGTAATAATAACAAATAATAATTATAATAATATTAATAATAGTAATAATAATAAAGTTTCCATAAGACTAATATCACTTCACTCAGACTGCCGGAGAGGTCAGCAGCCAACCAATTAGGCGAGATCACCCCACAGGCGAGTGAGTGGATAGGCGAGAAAGGTGCGAAGTAGAAGTGGAATCAAACGCCGACTCGCTGGAAGTGCGAATGGATCCTGGTTAATCACTGGTCGTATTCTCAAACAGAATACGGAAAGAGATCTTGGACGCATACCCTGGCTCCAACTTGGCTGATGAAAGAAAATTCCTTCGAAGCACGATTTTTACCAACGCCCTGTCCACTCCAAGCGAACAAAGGCAAGGCTAAAACTTCTTGCCCCATTACCTTCAGACTACGAACGACTAATTTACGAAGCGGAAAGAATGTGGGACCTACAAACACAGGGACTAACGTGCCAACATATAACCTTTTGATAGTCAAAATTGATGAAGTTCTCAGTCCTGGCCTCACAGGCGTAATCGAATTTCCCCGTGACTCACGTTACAGACGGCAATCCCATGACTACAATCGTTTCTAATCTTCGTACTCTTCTTTAAAGCGTTTGGGACTGCAATACCATACTGTAATGGAGACCACGTCCAGAGAACGTGGAGACAGTAAAACCTTTCTTGAGAGCAGTATCGTACTTTCAACGCTACATACCGCGTTTTTTCAATTCATCGCTTCAAGCATTATTCTCTATGTTTCACGCCAGCTAATGCTTCCATACCCAACACAACGCAGCAAACACTTGTGCAACTAGATGAGCAAGCACCAGACGGTATGGAACAATTAATAATCACGCGCTTGCGCCTTTTTAGGGAACAGGACATATTTTCGGCGATGAATTACGAAGGTGAACGAAAAGATGAAATCTTCCTGTATAAGTCGTCCTAGACAGCCTCATTCGTAAGTTTTAGGTGTTTTCAATTTTGCCGCACTGCCGCGACGCTTTCTCTTCGAAAAAACTTCGAATGGGCGGTCCAAAGAGGGCACACGCAGCGTATACCCCACTTATTTTCTTATCCTGAAAACAAAAAATTAATACGCCCTTCTACTAGTCGCCGGTATCATATGCGTGTATGAGGATAACTCATAGGTTGACAATCACCACTGCAACCGATTTGTTAAAATCCCGTACGTATGTTGAAATATGACGCTCACATCGAACGACACAATTATTTACGTTTATCCACACCACCCCCCCCCCCCCCCCCCCCCNCCTCCTTTCGCCTCGAGGCCGAGCCTTTCTCGAAAGTGTGACGAGAGCCCTCATGGGCAAAGCCATTTTTTGTACTTTCTAACTATTTCTACTGTTTCTGTATAATGCCGTTTGTCACCTGTCTCTTCCACATTACTAAACGGTCTAGCACTAACAGCACGATATTCTATGATACGGAGTCATTCTATCCGTTTTTCATCAACTCTCTTTCGCTCTCCTCGATAACGTACGGTACCGCTTGAGAGCTCATTTGAAGCCCGAGGGCGGGTTTACTGTAAGGAATGGTGTCGTATACTCGCTACCCGACAGCCACTTGGACGAAGCCACTTGTCAGTCAAGATACGGATTTGCACAAGGTCACTACAAAAGAAGCCGGCTGCAAGTAACTTGGCTTCTTATTTGCCAAGCCCTATGTCTAGCGCCCATCGCACCGGCGCGAGCCAACTTGTCCTGGCCTTCCCTCAATCCCGTCGTATAAGGTAACGTAATATATTAATAATAAAGTATGTATCACACCTGTTGTCACCACAGACATGAACTCAGGTCCCGCTACACTATCAGTTGTAGGTCTCGCGGACCTATAATCTGATAAGTCCGAAAAACGGTGATGAGAGGCTTTCAAAGGAACAGTGGTCAACTTATTTCGATAGACGAGGTAGGTGCATAAGGGTGAAACCTGTTGCCTACATAGCATGTCCCAAATTGGACTTCATTTACAGTGGAAGGGGCCTGCGCGGAAAAAGGGCTATCTGAATAAACGAATTGCATTACGCCTCTCAGCAGTTTTTAAAAATAGCGGTCGGATGGCTTCCTTACGTCGGGCTCTCCCCTTCTCATGTGAAGGTTGAAATGCCTTACTGAGATCTATCACTGCTCCTTCCCTTTTCTTTCTAAAAAATGAGTAGTTAGGAACTCCCATAACGAGAAGTACAAATTGACCCTGGTCAAAAACTGTTACCCATTAAAGGCACAATTAACGATAAAAATGGTTTCTGAGTTCTGAGTCGAGGCAATTCAGATTGCAATATTTGATCTAGGACCCACATACAATCAGCCGATCGCCGAGTCATGAGGCGTTTTTCTCCTATTCTTTTATTCTCTATTATTTTTTTTACTGTTGCGATCCTAATTCTAATTTTCTACCTCAAGAAGCTGAAAAAAGTTGGCTATTTTTGCTGTTACTGGGGTTTTTTGTCAACTTTGTTTGTGAGTGAGCTTTTGCCTACTGCAGTCAGCTATTCGCACTAGAGGCCACACGTATGCACTGACACACATTGTACAGCTCGTCCAAATGTCCCATTCCTTTTCATTTTTCTTGTCTCATTCTCGTCCACCCCCCCCCCCTTTTTGGTAAGGATTTTTTCTAGCCTTTTTTCACTTTGGAAACACAATTCACGCAGTTTCTCCGCCTTCATTGCACTACTTTCCATATACCCTTTGATTTTTCGTCATTACCTGGATTATCCAAAGTTATCGTGAACTGTGCCTTTAACCCATTGGCGACCACGCCTTTTAGACGTCTCTTGTGTGGGGTCGGGCGCGCTTTTTGAGAGCTAATGTTGTGACCCGCCTGCGAGCCACACGGTCCCAGAAGCAACCTAAATTTTTACACAACCGTTCTTCGAGATAAAGTGCCATTGAAATGTCACAAGGGTGATGAGTCATCCACAAAACGTACGCGCTATGGTGTAACAGCCACGTTTAGCTTGTTAAGCTCTGAAGGAAGTTAGGAACGCTCAACTCTTTGAACCTCGATGGTTGATGGCTTGTGGGATCCAGAAAGTTATCGGCAAGCTTGTCACTCCAAAAACGATTCACAAGTTGGAATGAAAGTCCAAAATACAACCAGAGAGGACGCACTGATTGCTAGAAGGAGAATTCGAAGGAAAAGGGCGTGCCTATAAATTGTGTCAAAAGGGTCTCGTCAAAATGCACCAGGTACCACGAAAAAAGAAAACTTTGTTTCAAGTGTTTTCCCAAACTATTACAAGTAGCATAAGTAATAGTTTAGGAAAGCCAGCACAGTAGGACCAAATAATAATCCCCGATTTTGCCCCCTTCAATATTGACTTGATATGAAATTTCGTTTTCTACGATAACTATCCCCCCTGGCCTACCACCTCAACGCGTGTCCGTTTCTGCCACACCTATTTATGTGCAAAAAACCGAGTTTTCGTAGTTCTTTAGTATTCTAATGCAAAGTTCCGGTAATTCCCAGTTATGCGAGGCTTTCTACCTTTGACCTTCGCGTTAGAAGCTGCAAGTTGGTCAATACAAACCCTTACATCGCCTCAAAGTCAGTTAGCAACATATGGTTGGAAGTGGACAATTCTTGGACCTCTAGATCTAAAGGTTATCTAGGATGTTGTGAGCCTAGCTGGTACTTGGAAGCGTCAAAAACATAAAAACGTACATATTATAAATAGCGTAGATACCGAGGCACGCCGACGGGTCACGTGGTGCCAGGAGCACGACTTGGTGTGGTCGGGGGCACGCGGTCGTTAACGTTTTTAGGATCGAAACGTTAATAGACCTTCCGATGGCCCACCTCAACGTGGTAGAAGGGTGAAACGGGCAGCGTGTGGACGTGTCCGGCTATAACCAATCTTAGTTCTTGTAAAAATAATGATAATTCTGCTTTTTCTATTTTTTTTGTTTCACCATGTTTTATCCGCCTGGGCCGAACAAGCCTTCCATCTATTTGGCACCAGACAGACAAGCCTGGGAGTATAGAAGCACCGACATGCACATCCATACGCATTCAATACACCAATACGATTTTGAACGGCAGTCTAATGCTTGTACGCATCCCTTTGACGGGACTGATTAATGCCGCAAGACTTTATTCCTCTATCATGTGACTCAATGCAAGGTTCCGGTACTTGCCAGTCATGTGAAAGTATACCTTGACCGGAATGCTGCTTCGCGTTCGAAGCTGCGGCTAAGGCAGTTGTGCGAGGAGCTGAAAAGAAGGTGGATCTCTTGCTTGAGTCCCCCTGCCCGTCCGGCTATGGTCGCGACCGATATTGTTTTCCATGCGTTAAGTTGCGCACAACAAGCTGGGTAGATTACGTCCAAGTTTTTGCATTCTGGACTCGCAAGCGGAAAAATCCGCCCACCAAAGGGGGAGGCAACCTGTCGCCCTGTCACATGCTTTCCTCGCTACCATCGACTTGTGTGGTCCAAAGCCTCTTGCCATCGTTTCTAGTGCTCGACGGACCGTTGCGTGGGAGAGCCTTCATTGACCTTCTTCATTAATATTATATTTACTTAAAGGCACAGTCTACGATAAATTTGGGTTATTCAGATCATGACGAAAAAGGAAAGAGAAGTTGGAGAACAGTGCGACGGAGGCAGAGAAAGCACGCGGATCGTCGCTTCCAAAGTGATAGGAAGGCTACTGAAAAGTCGTAAAAAAGAGGCTAGACGAGAACAAGACCAGGAAAACGAAGTACAAACAATGTCTGTCATTGCGTACGTGTGAGTCCCGGTGCGAATAGCTGACTACTGTGAGCAAAAATGTCCTTTCAAATGCCATCCACTCAGAAGCATAAGTTAACAAAAACACTATTGACAACAAAAATAACCCACCTTTTCCACGCTTTTCCTAGCTTTTGAATTTTTGGACCCGACAGCCTTCTTTCTGTTACTCTTGGGAGCCACAGTGTAAGA